CTGGTTCAGAAGGTTCAATATAAAGAAATACAAAATAAAGGTTGTGTTATATAACAAAGTTTTGACATAGTCACTGCAGCCTTAAGTATAAAATACAAATATACTTTCATTTCTTATCTGTGAATAAATTCATTCTTTCGAATTCAATAAAAGAATTTAATATGAAACAGAAATTTTAGAAATTGTCATATTCCCATTCCCAACAATATGATAATTGCCTTTAAACTTAAAGGAGAAATGATATACTTAGAGGTCAACAGTCAGCTTGTTAATTATTTCGGTGTTACTAATCCTTAATAAGTACTTTTGTGTTCATTTTTCTGAAGCTAAAATACATCAAAACACTAGGATATGCATTAATAGTGTTATTCACATGTTCATGGTTGGCTTTGTCCAAATAATTGAGTAATATGACATATGTTTCTCCATATTACAAGGTCATTAGGTAACCTGCCGTGCATGATAAGTAATTCACTCAAAAAGGAGCTGTCCGAAGTGCGTCATCTGTGGTGGCAGGAAGTTCAAGAAAGTTCAGTCTCATCTCTAACTAATTTAAATATTGAAAAAGTTTTTCTCAAACTAAGTATTTATGTTTTTCTACTAATTTGCCAATTACATATTGAAGTGAAGTAGATGCATATAGTAAAACATCATTGTTATTGTAAATTGTTTAATCGCAGTCGATAAGCGGGCTTATTTATTAAACTCGTATAATAGTTTTCATATGTTCTTTTTTAAAATACTACACCAGTATTGCTCGGAAAATATTCACATTACTAAATGAATTTATTAAATATGATATTACACAGTCCCACATTGGATATTCTCTATATATTTCTCACAACAGTGAAAAATATTCAGCATCTATGTTTTTGGCATTTTAGTCTCATCCTAAACATTGTAAATACACTTTGCTAAAATGTTACATTCGAAGGAAATCACCAAAGACTTCCGCTAAAACCTGCTACAATCTCATGTGCTCCAATAATGGCAATTTTTATATTGAATTTGTTTGTGAAGTAAACCTCATTTGAAACTAATGTACAGGGGTTATGTTCATTAACTCTGTGTAGAGTAGTTCAATTTATTCGAATGCAATTATATAGTTATAAAATGGTTCTAAAAATAATACTTGAACAACAATAAGCAACAATATTATGTTAAATAAAAATGATATTTATAAAATAACAAACAGTGAAGCTATATAATGCAATTGTAATACATTCAAAAATGTAACCTGCTTATTTTTTAAAATGCTTACAGGCTTATATATAGTTCAGCCTTTCATGGTATTTATGCACTTTAAAACAGTAATAATTGTTGATGTGCTTATTTTTGTCTAACACCCTTCCTCCTGCATCCCACGTATCATTTGTGATTCACTCAATGATGTATGCAGCATT